CTCCCACACTGCAAGGACACGGTCCACTCTTCTTTATGTTCCCATTGAGTAACACTGTAGGCACTCAATAAATGTTGGCAGAAAGGAGAAAGGAGGAAAGCAGGTGGGAAGGACAGGAAGAGGGGAGAAAACTAAGGAAACGAATGAATGAAGCTAGAAGCAAAAAAGAGACCCTGGCCTATTAGAGTTATTGTGACTCCCAGAACGTCCAGTCCACCCCTACTAAGAAGCAGTAAAGGTATCTACAGGTAGCACAGGGTAACAAGAAAAAGGCTGAGTCCAGAGACCATCCAAAGGCAATGTCACTCAGTAGAGACAGATATACATTTAATTTTTTAAATTTTTTAATTTTTTTGAGTTGCAGCTGTCACTCAGGCTGCAGTGTAGTGGCACGCTCACAGTCATGCCAGCGTCGACCTGCTGGGCTCAGGCAATCAATCCTACCACCTCAGCCTTCCAAGTAGCCGGAACTATAGATGCATGCTACCACACCCAGCTAATTTTTTCATTTACTGTAGAGGTGAGGTCTCACCAAGTTGCCCGGGCTCTTCTCGAACCCGTGGGCTGAGGCAATCCCCTTACCTCAGCCTCCCAAAGTGCTGGGATTATAGGCTTGAGCCACTGCACCTAGCCAGACACACGTTTTAAAAGTGTGTCCTCAAGCTGTCTATCCCTGCTCTAAGTAGTGGACTTAGTATTTAAAAAGTACAAATAAATTGGTCTTACCCTAGTGAACTCTCGACTATTGAGGACATAAAACCTGGATGGCACTATGCTGTTAAATTAGCCATGGGGGGAGGGTAATTTGTAGCATTTGCCAATTTCTGTGGTGTAAATATTCCTACTGCAGCTAATTTGTCTACCAAGAACTCTCCCATGACCATGGGCTTCTACCCCATGACTCCTAACAAAACCTGGAATGATTTAGCAGTGGCTCCTAGGGGCCCCAGCAGATCTCTGGCCCTCCACCCCCGCCCACGCTTTTCTCAATCTTGCCATCTTTTAGCCCCTTTGTTGTTTATTAACATCCTTTTCACATGACAGACAAGGAAAATGAAATAAGAGAACAGAGAAGCAGTTCTTCTGTTCCTCTATTTTTCTGTCAGTGGTTCTAGCAAAGAAGACTAAGTGGGGGAGTTAAAACTCTTGGCTCGATGTGTTTATGGGTTTCTATTATCCCCATCTCTTGCCCTTTATTGCTACCAATGATTGACAACAGATGCCCTAATCAAATGTGCAAAATGCAAACATACTTGCTGACCAAATACAGAGTTAATGACCACAACCTAGAAATAAAAACGAAGAGAAAGATGTTATGCTGGAAACCTAAGAAGGGCCAAGTTAGTCAAGACAGCAGAAAGGCTGTTCAACTGGAAATCAAACCAACTATCTGGGTAGAAATAATACAGAAAACATTTTTTCTGAATGTTTAAGATCACAGCAGCACTCTGGACCAAAATCTAAACAGAAAAACGAATATAAGGGAAAAACCATCTAGCAAAGAAATAAATTTGCATCTTTAACACTGTTGGAAACTGAGGAGATATAGGAACATTTTATGAAGTTCTGTGATGGATTAACTAGCGAAAAAGTCACTCCGCCAGAGCAAGGGGGCTCCCTGGGTGGTATTTATGCTAAGAAAGAAGGGGAGGGCATAAGTGACACATCTTTCCCTTCTTTCTGTATCTAAGACAGGCAAAATCACACGAGAATGCGTCCCCAAATGTGCTCCTGAACTAAGGTGAGTCAGAGGGAAAATTAGGAAAATCAAAACCATCTGAGGATGAAAAGATAAGATACTCACGCACACGCAGAGGTGAGACAGAACGACCTCAGAATCGTTCTGACTGGCATTTCACCCTGTTCAAACGAAGTGCACTTAGTAAGAAAAGAAACTCCAATGGTTTCAATAAGAGAAATTAATTAAACACACACATAACAAAAGTGTGACACGTGGGACGGGCTCCTTGTTTCAAACCCTGAAGAGAGCCAAGAGAGAGATGTAGAGCCGGGCCTCGTGGAGCTACTCGAAATCATTCGTGCCCTGGCCCCCGAGGGTCTGAGTACCTCCTTCACCCAGCACAAACTGGCTGTGCCAGATGGGAAAGGAGGAGGGCAGGAACAACGATGCCATCACGCCCGTGTCAGGCAAACACTAGAATGGGCCCCACTGGGGAGGACAGGAGTGGGCATCACCCAGGCATGGGGCTGCATGTGAGTCATGTCTGGCCAAGGCAGATGTGGGATCATCACTCCTATCATGGAAAGGAGGCTTCAGATTTTAAAACAGAAAATAGGGAAGCATCAGGGAGTTAAAATGAACCCCAAACTCTCATGTGGATGTAGACATGGTGGAACCCAGCAGAGCAGACTCTTCGAGGTGGGGTAGAAAATGGGAGTGTGGGGAGGGGGGGTGGGGGAGAACCCGAAGGTATTCCAAAGGCCTCATGTCTGAATTTCAATGGAAGACATGCGTGATGTTAAGAGAACTGCAGGGCTTCTAGGGAAGCAAAGGCGAGGACTGGCGATTTTAACAAAGACTAGATGTGCACAACTTGCACAAATTCTGAACCTCAGACTAAGACATCGTGTCTGAGCACCGACCCTGTGAGCAAATAGCTGGGCTGCGTGTACACAAGTCTCCTGACCTTTCTGGGCCTGAATGGCTCCAATGAGGTGAAGGAACTGAACTACCTTACCTGAAAGTGGTTTCAAGCTTGAAAATTCTGGGAAATTGACAACTAGGAGGGGAAAACACAGACCACTTGAGTAAGTGCGAGGCCCAGGCTGACATTCTTCTGTTCTAAAGGGCAGAAAGGAACACTTGGGATGGAGTTACTTCCTGGCTGTTAAACACAACCACAGCCCTCAGCTTCCACTCACCCTGCATACAAACTCACCGCTGAGAAGGGCACGGCCTGGGCTCAGGACATCCCAGCCCTTGGATTAACTGATGACGATGACGTCTCTGTCTCCTACCCTCCTACCAGGGTACAATTTTCTAAAAGAGAAAATCCTTCCCAAGAAAATAAACACTTTCAAACACTGTCCCATTCTGTTACCTATTTGGATTACATAATGCCTATGAAGTGAAGACTTACTGACACACCAAAAAAGAACTCTCAGCTTGTAAACTGAACTGCTTTTCTCTCCACTGTCCAAAGTTCCAAAGAATCTCCACGTCCCTAAAAAGCAGTCACCAGTACCTGCTGTCATGGTCACGAACAACTGCACTGCCTCACCTTTGCCCGGTACAAAAACTGAGATCAAAATTTTTGAAGGCTGTGAGGACACATAAGTCCTGTATACAAGATTCTCCAACAATCCTATATATCTTCACGGATACCCAAATTGCCCTGCATGGAGATGGAACACTGGATATTTTTCCAGGATAATTATCCTGCTGAGGATAATTTAGACAAGTATACATCTGGACATCTGTGCCACTGTGTGTGAAATGGGCTACCAATAACTGGTAACAGGCATTGACTAGCCACTGAGTAAGATGATAACCCCCTCCACACCCACCCTGACCTAGTGATGACAAGGGCCCCCTAGGGATGTTCTGGAAAACACCCTGGGGCCAAGTCAACTAGCATCCTGCAGAGCATAGTGCTGGCTGGGTGCCTATGTTTTTCCAGTCATTCTGGTGGAGATGGCAAGCGAAAGGCCAAGCAAGGTTCCTGGTACAGCCTGCTCCCACCTGTCCACCTGGATCGATGTGGAAATATTCAGTCGCAACGTGCTCATTGTCATCCCTCTCCAGGAACGGGCCAAGTTGGAGTTACTTCTAGAATGCCACCTCACTCCCAAGTCAGAAGGTACACCGCCCATCGGAACTGCACCTTGCTCATTCAGTTCTTGGGAAGATTAAGTGAGATAATACGAGGAGGAACCTGGCAGATGACAAACTTGATAAGCAGACGTGAGTCACTGTAAGACAAAACCTAACCAAACACGAATGACTCAGAGGAGGCTCGGCTGCATACTTGGAGCAGAGCTGGGAAGAACCAGGGCAAGCGCTTCTCGGCCCCGGTGTCTACGCTGCACCCCAGTCTTCTCATCAGTTGCCCACTAGCCACATGCAGGCTATCATAATCCATAGAAGCTCACGCCCCATTCCCACCCCCACTCCCCATAACTAAGTAGCAGAGCACAACACCATGAGAACAGGCATGCAAGAGAACCCAACAGAATTCCACGAAGCCCCTTGGCACCAAGCACGTGGACATTTTGCCAGAAAAGTCAACCATCCAACACTAAACAAACGTCGGCAGTGGGAGAAAAAGGCCAAGGAAGCGCAGACTTGACAGCGCAGTAAAGAGGCTGTGGCCCCTCCCAGAGCAGCCCCCGAATGTCCTGCTCTTCCTGAAGCTTCAGGCCACAGCCCACACTTCCCGAGGCACATGAGCAACGCTTTCTCTGTTTGGACATACGTGGTACAAAACTAGGCACAAAACCATTTTTCAACATCATCATGAAAATAAGGTAAGTTGTACAATAAGTAGGTCTTACTATAATTTATACCTGAACGTTCTAATTCACTTGGCGCACACACGGGATCCCAGCTCGCCTTTCTGGTGACACACCACAGTATTAACTCTGCAGGAAATTGTGAAAGGCGGCAAAATGAACCATGTCCAGACTCCTGAGAAGATGGCCACATTGCAGAAGCAACACAGACTCTGTGGCAAGAAGTAAGTGGTCATGACACCTTCTATTTTTTATTTAGCATCAGGCCTACCCATCTTGGAAAAGACCAGAACACGTCACGCTTTATGCCTATTCAAAAGCCCAGACCACACGGCAATTCTCGTGGCTTCTAACCCACTCTTTCCAAAACGCAAAGGGTTGCCGTGACCCATAACCTCAGAGAGGAGCCAGCCGTTCCATCTCTGCTGAGTACTCAGTGTCCTTTGCTTGACGCACATTTCTATGGTAATCTTCCACCACCATGCAAGTGTCCATTCTCTAAAACCCCAAGTAATAAGTGCAACTTGTAAAAGTCAGGGTTTTTTTATTTAATACATTCTAATCAAATAGTAACAGCAGTAAATAAACACTTTGAAAACCAGGCAGGCATCCCCCTATATCTGGAAGAAAATTAAGTCAAAGTATTCTACATGGTAGAAGGGAGACAACTGCTGATGTCCATGGTCAGACAATTCAGGACAACCTGGAACTCTCTAAAGCCATTTCCCAAAAGCCAGCGGCAACAGGTTGGGACACAGCTACTTTGAAGGGTACAATGTCTGCATCTGCATTGGTTTTTATTAACAGGGATTGAATTGCACCTGTAGAGCACGACATTCTTGTCTTTAGCCTTAAAGGAAAAGATAAAGTCTTTTCCGTGTGCACCAGTTTGAAATATTTCTGAAATAAGGCTCCCTTAAAGTGGATTACTACAGTACGCATTCACAGGAGAGAGTCAGACATGTAGTAAGAGACTATACAGGATTTCGTGGTCACTGCTTTTTGGTTGGTTTGGTAAGTTGCATAAGATGAGGGCTAAATACTCACACGCATTATCTGTTTAACAAAACTCAAACTCCTAGGTACATCAGAATGCAGAACAGTAAATGTCCTCAAAGACTCTGATCCCCAGGCAGAGGAAACGGAAGCCTGAGTCAGCTCCACTCCTTCCGCCACTTCAGATCCCTAAGAGGGGCTGTCTCCCCACCTCCCAGCCGGGACCTCCCCCAGAACAGAAGGGAATGCTGATATAATGCTCCCTCACCCTTCACTGGGGTCGTCAGTCTCTTAATTTAAAAGGATCTACTGTCTTGGTCAGCCTTGGGAAGGGAAGCATCACCGGGTGAAAATGTGAGGGTTGGGGGACTTTAAATACCTAGCTACCTCTTCACGCATTTAAATTAGCTCAACTTCAGTGGTGGTTAGAAAGAATTCCACGCAGTTTTCCAGAGCAGTCCCTCGGGTTTTGGTTATCTTTTACATAGCTGCGCTCAGAGGTACTCTACGTGGGGCATGTTTAGAAAAACAGAAACACTTATACCTGGAATTTATACTCTTCCAAGTAATCTTTCAGTCTTGTTGGCAAAGGCAGTCCCCAGACGGCCGCGGTACATCTGTGGATGGTGAGTCTACAGAGATGCTGCAGAGATGGCGCCGACGGGTAGAGCGGTTTGGTCAGGTAAAGGTGGACAGTCCCGTTCCGCGGGGCCTCTGGGCCTGTCTGCTTATCCTTGCACATCTGAACATAGTAGTCGATCAGATGGACCACACTGTCAAATTGCTTGAGCTTAGACTTGACGCAGATGATGGAATCCAGTCTGAACTTCCCATCCTGGTATTCGATGCGCAGGTTCGTTGGTCCAGCTGACGTCTTAACCGATATCGTCAGCAGGTAGTCTGAGTGCGAACTGTCTCTAACCAAGAAAGTTCCTTCCGGTGCCTCTTTTAATTTCTCTTTGGCTTCGTTAACAGTCATACTTCCCCAGTACCATCCTGGGGTTTTTGTTCAACAAGGGAAAGAAAAGAGGGTAAAATAGTTATTATAAGAATCTTAAAAGTAGGGCAAGTACTTGGCAATCATTTTTCTAGCTCTAAAAAAAAGAGACATGAGTGAAAGCTTACCGGGAGCTACCGCAAATACTTTCGGAAGGAATTTAATGAAAAAGTGGGTCCATTTTATTACGAACATAAACTTTGAGCCAGTTTTCCTTAAAAAACAAAAAAACTTTCTGTAGTTCTTTCGACTATCCCAAGATTTTCTTCTAACAAATCAAAAGAACATTTGCACTATGACACACCAGCTGACGAGTAGCAACATGTTAGCACCAAAAAAAAGAAAAAAGAAAAAAGAAATTAAAATGTAAGTAATTTAGAAACAAATCAGAAGTTAGAGATAAAAGCCAGACCCCTAACAAAAAGTGGAAAGCCCAACTCCAGTCATTTCTAAAGAGTGAAAACAGAAGTGACTTTTTGGATGGCAGGCGCCACCCTCTCCGGGAAGAATCTGCGAGGGCCGCTTCTGCCGAAGCCCTAGAAAGCGCCGGGAGCTCGTTGTGAAATCACAGCTCGGGTTCAGCGGCCCCTGGGCGCTGCTCTGACGACGGCTGCCTTGCCAGTCGCCCAGAGACGAGAAGTCCCGCTGGAGAGCCAGCACTCCAAGTCTGCATCATCCCTGAACTCTTCAGGACTCTGTCCTGGTCCCCCGCGTCCTCTCTTTCCTCTGCCGGCACCATCTCCCCAGTCAACCCGTTTCCTAAGGACGCTCCAAGACACTGTGCTTTCCCCACTGCAAAACTCCCGGAACACTTGCGATCTGCCGGTCTCACCGCCCCCAGCGGAGGGAAAGCCCGACCCGCCGGCCAGGGCGAGTTTCCCTCTCCCGCCCCTACCGCTCCAAAACGTCAACTCTGCCTCCACCGTGAGCTTTTAGAATCCGGATCCTGAAGGCCAGATGCTTTGCCAGGTAGCTTTTGCTTTTCTTTCAGATGCCAGATGCCGGGAGGCGACAGCAAGACGCTCAGAGCGCCTGCCCCCTCCTGGCTCCCAGGCTGCCGGTGCCACTCCGTCCTGCACTCGGCAGCCCCGACCGGAGCCGGATGCGCTGGGGCTGCGGGGAGCGCCGCCATTCACTGCCCTGCACCCCACGCACAGGGAGGCCCTGGTGTCACCCGGCCGGGGTTCGAGCCTGAGGGCCGACCCCACGGAAGCCAGGATAGGTCCCGGTGCGCCTCGCGCCGCTTCCCTGGGGCCCCTTGAGAGCCACTGTCCCG